CTTCAGGTGTGCGTTGTATCTCACTACCCCCTTCCTCCTCTTGTCGCAGGAACATTTCCTGTTCCTAAAGGTGGGAGAGAGGGAGGGAGGGAGGGAGGGAGGGAGGATAACAGGGGACGACGCAGGAGAGGCATGAATGCCGCGTGCTATACTCCTGACCATCCTGTCACTATACATCCCATATTAACGTCCGGCCCTCTTATGCCCGTGGATGTAGCATTGCATGGGCCTAGGTACGCGCTGGCCGGGCGCTTCGGTGGCTCGCTCACAGCACGGCCTGCCTCCCTCCTTCCTCCACACCCGTCTTTTCTCCTCCCCGCTTCCTCCTCCCTCACTCACTCATCCTCTTTGCCTATGACATCTTTCATTCTGACTTTCGTCTTCCCGCACTCAGCTCTTTCTCCGTCCTCCTCCACGCTTCCCTTTCCTTTCCTTTCGTTCTCCTCAATACCGTGCTATTCAACACCTACCTACCTCCCTCCTTCTATCCCTCCCTCCCTCTCTCCCTCCCACGTACCCTTTTCCTTCCCGCCTCGATCGCCTCGTCCATGTTCGCGGCCGTGGACTTTCCGCCCGTCTTTTTCCGCATGTCCTTTGGGGGGGCATTTCCTTTGACCAAGGCCAGGGAGGGGGAGGGAAAGGAGGGGAGAAGAAGAACGGGGACGAGAGCGGAGGAGGTTGTGGACAGGAATGCATGCCGCGTGTGAAGAGGGGCCGGGTGGGCGGCTTTTAAACAAAGAGAAAGTCCTCGGGCTTTTGGGTGGGAAGGGCGGAGCCTGAAGGCGAGGGCGAGGGCTGGAAGGAGGAGGAGGAGGAGGGAAGGAACCGAGTGACGGGCGTGGGTGCGCCCTAGAGGCATAGCTGGGCTCTCTGCATCCGAAAAGATAGGGGTATCATGAAGCAATCGGTTCGTGAATGAGACGAGTACAAGGGAAGACTGTTGCGGTGCGGAGTCCAGTACGCAAGGTCTCCGTTGGGGGTCGAAAGCCCTTCTTAAGAGGGTGGCTCTCATAACCGTCCTGGTCGATTCACTGCACAACAAAGACAAAATAGCCACATAATTTGCAATTGCCGTACTCACTTGCACCCAATTATTCACCGTACGTTGGAAATTGCCAACGAGAAATTCAACGCCTGGCAGCGAAGGGATACTGCAGGGCTGATAACCTCTGGGGAAAGACGGATTAATTTCCTTCACGCACAACATGCCAGAGAGTTGTCGGTCTGGGACGCGATAATGCTCGAGGAAATGCACTGCAACAACCTCTTCGCAAAAACACTAGTTCCCATTGAAACCCCCAAACCACACGACGGATTCTTTTAACCGCAGGTTCAAAGGCTGTGGCCTCTTTTTTTTCTCCACTTTGCACACAAATGTATGACGTCATGTCCCAGCCCTCCCTTTCCTTTTCATAACGATGATAATTTTTCGTCCGGTCATTTGTGACTGCAAGCTTCCCAGAAGATGGCAAACTGCGATTCCCGGGCGCCTGGCAGGCCATCACTTGATGAGATAAGTGATGGCGATAGTCTTTTTGCCCCTTGGGGGGAGAATTTAGGCGACGTAAGATACTAGTACCAAGCAGTACGCAGGGTCAAACCGCTCAAGGACAGAGCTGATATCCAGAGAGTAGTAGACATGCACTTTGAACTCTCTTTGTGGACATTGAGGGATAAAATCGATCGTGTTGTACGAATCGATGGGAACACGGCTCGTTGCTAGATCCGACGGTGCGAGCTCTCGAAAAGTAATAAAGAAATAATTTCTTCTTTTTTAGTTAGGGAGCGATCTCTTGCGTGCAACGATCTATGCGTCTGAAAACATGTACGGGTATTTCACCAGAACCCTCCGCATGCTAATGAACCAACAAATGTGTGAGTTCCATAAGATTCCTGCGAGGCATGCACGCGTCAAATGTCTCCGTGTTTGTTTCGCCTGCCCCTCTGGTTTATTTCTCGCTGATGTTGCCACAGCGTGTTCTTATTGTCCTAGCGGGAAGTCTCCGCCGGGACGACCAAAACCCTTGCCGACTTGGGGCACAACACTCAAACACACGCCCACAATGTGACGAAGAGCACGTTCAAAAAGATGGAGGAGCGTGGAATCCAGCTATTCCGGGAGAGATCGTCGGATTTTATGAAAAATACCGTACAGGGAGGACTGCCACCTCAGTGTGGTGCGTCAGGAAGTGCGTGTGGTGTGTTCTGCTTCGTCGTGAATAATTTTGTACCGCCAGTCGCACACATGCTTGCGCCGAAAGACGTGTCTGAGACGAGCAATGCGACATGGTGGACACGCCACGGTTTTGACCCGGCGGTCCAATATATTTTGGTGGTTTGTGGAGGCTGGGTTCAGGCGCGTGGCCGGGCGTGTGCAAAGACGTGCGTGGTAACCTCCTGTCTCTCTTCCTTCCGCGTGGTCAGATTCAGGACGACGGTGCGCCACGAGGCAAGACTTGCGTTGTTTGGGAGACTTGGACTGTGTCGTTCAAGGTTTCCTTACCGTGATGATTTGTGACGTGATCACTGTATGTGCCACGCGACTGAAAATATGTTCTGTGTCGGAGCCTCCGGGGACCGGTCCACACCAATCGTCCGTACTTGCAAGCACAGAGATCTGTTTTCGAATATGTCTCGACCACATCACTCTGTACCTATACTTACACAAGGGAACTGGTTCTCCATGCGTAGTCAGATGGTCATGAAAAGAGGCAACGGCACGTGTAGTAGCCCTTCCTCGTGGTTCGACATGGTCAGATCGATACCACGTACTCATCCATTTTCAGATCTCCCATCTTCGCGCTGAATAAGTCGGGTCCTTATTTTTCTCCACAACCTTCAGATAAAC